TTGAACGATTTTTACTATTGGAATAAATTCATATTTCTTTTATAAATAAGCATTCTTTGATGCATTAGTAACTAAAGCAACCAAATCCTTCATTCAATTGTTCATTTAATCACAATAATTAACAATATGTGTACCGTCACAATGGTGGTCGCTCTACGCACGGCAAGATGTGCAATATCTACAAGTTACTACACTTTATGCTGCACTTTATTATACTACACAAATTATCTTTCGGCAATCAAAAATAAATTGATTAATAATGATGTTTTTTCAGGAGACAGAAAATGAAAAACATCTGACACATCTGTAGAATGAAGTTTAATTAATGTTACTTTTTCACAATCCATTCACTGCGCCATATATCCATCTATCTATAATCTAATATCTCATGTAAGAATAGAATGTAGAATTATTCGAGTAGCATTAAAGTAAAGAAGACTTATTGTGAACTGGAAAAAACTTTTAACAAAAAAAACTTGCTCGAGTTTTTTTTTCTAGCCACTATACTTTCGCAACTTAAAGTGGAACTTGGGAAGGTGAGGTGGCATATCCTGGGGCTATGTGAAGTCCGAAGAGCGCGGCATTAGGTGTTTTACCCTCGAGTCAGGCCACCTAACGTACTTCCGCGAAGAAAACTATCAACCCCAAGGTGGATTTGGGTTTCTGGTAAATGAGTCCCAATCTGACAACGTTGTGGAAATGTGTTGAACAGGGCGGCGTACCTCATTGTCATATTTGTGCAAGTGTATACACCAACCTCGGACGACAATGTGGACGATATGTTCAATTACATTTCGAGAGCCCTCCACTTCACCACCACAACGTTGTTATGAGTGACTTCAACGTTAAAGTAGCCGGGATTTGCCCCCTGCTCGTCAACTACCGCAAACTCTTCTTTTTGAATTCTTTCAGGCCCAAGGGAAGTGATCGTGGCAAAGCAAAAAAATGAGATCGATTTCATCATGACGAACAAGAAGCACATTTTCAGAGACGACTCAGTGAGGGTTTAACACCGATAGCGATTACCGACCAATTGTCTGAGACTCTCTGAATATTATCGCTTTAAGGCTAAACGTGTCCATGACAGGATACGAAACGTGCCAGTCAAATCTGGAAAATCGATTTCCTGCCTTGGAAACCACAACAGACTAAACTAAAACCTCAAAAATGTGATTCGGATCTTCAGGGAAGAAGGTAGGAGATTCTGTAAAACGCAGAGCAAGTGCAGGAAGTCTTTTGGGTTAATGAAAGTACGACGTGTAAACCCACCTGCCACTTCATCGGCAAATCATCATCATCATAAACAGCCTTTAGTAGTCCACTGCTGGATATAGGCCTCTCCGATGAGAGAGTACCGTCATGACATAGACTGCTCCACAAGTTCAAAGTCGCTCAGCGGGCTATGGAAGGCGCTGTTCTATAAAGGATCGCGTCAGGAATGAAATGATCTGGCCGAAAACCAAGGTGATCGACATGACCCACCGGAATAGCAAGCTGAAGTGGCAATGGGCTGGCCATATTAGCCGCAGAATCGGCAACTGTTGGGGTAAAAGAGGTTTTGAGTGGAAACTGCATCTTGACAAACGTAGTGTAGCCGTAGGACGCCCACACACAAGCCAGGTGACGGTTTGCGTATAATGGCTAGAAAGAACTGGTTGCGAGAAACCGAGGATCCATCTAGGTGGCTTGCAACTGGTGAGGTTTGTGTCTAGCAGTGGACTGAGAAAGGCTGATGATGAATGATGATTTACTTTTAGAATTCAGTTTTTCGTGTATGAATATATACCCCTATAAGTGGAAAGTAATGTAAACATCTATTTTAGACGTTAACCAAAATTAATTACTAAGCTTTGACATTTCCAAATTGGTATTTCGCAAAAACTAAACTGCTGTCACATGAATATTTGCTATTTTTCTACCATTCCGCTAATTTTTCGCAAAATTTACTACTTTATAATTATCTATAAAACATGCCGCTTGGCCTTGCTTACAAGGTCGAAAGGCAATGATACCAAAAAAAATGAAGTTATGTTACTTTTAGTTTATTGTAATGGAATCACTATAACTTGTCAAAAGTAATATTATTTTTTTAAAGTATAAAGGACAAACGAGCTGGTAATCCACCTGATGGTGGTAACTATCGCCACCCATCATCAACAGCCTTTAACCGTCCACTGCTAGACATACCGCCACCCATGCACACTTTTAAATCAAGAGATACAAGTGCTTTGGCTCTTTGAGTGCCCCGACCTCAAGAATTTGGCTCGATTTGGCATGATTTAGTAATCATGATCATATGTCGGGTATATGTTTATCAGCAGCCTGCTTACGATATTTTTTGAACATCTGACACACAGCGCCATCTAGCCTCAAACTAAGAAGAGCTTGTACTTTGAAAGCTAGATGACTGATAGAATACATAATAATATATGTTTTTTCTGAATACATACATATTTTACATAGAAAATACCCAAACTTCTAAACAAATATTTGCAGGTCATACACACATTTGATCATGTGATGTCAGCGATCAGTCATAGAGCCCGCCTGCTAGCAAACGGTTACTGTACATTATAAGCGATTGTAACATCACAGGACACGCAGGCGCTTTGCCGAACCTTTAAAAACCTATTCACTCCTTTACTGTAAACCCCATGTTGTGTACGCTGATTTTTATCATTCCGTCAGGAGAGCATAAAAAGCAGACGGACGTACATACTAGGGAAAATGCAAATCATCCTTTATGAGTCCACTTCTGGACATAGGCCTTTCCTTAGAAGAAGGTTTTGGTCTACTATATCACGCTGTCCAAATGGGTTGGTATAGGGTTTGTGTCAAGTTTACCTTCTTTTAAAATGCTGTTGTCCTGCGTAGTTGGCTCCCTTAGTCGGTTCTTACGATACCCACAGGATGAATCCCCTATTCATCCCGTGGGTATCAGAGGGACACTCCATATTCGTAATTCGTCACGTCCGTCCGAAAATTAAAATATAGTGTTTTAATAAACTTGGGTCATAAATGTTATCAAAATTTAAAGAACTGTCTGCAACATTATTATTGTAGAACATTTTTCCTGCGATTTGTAGGAGTAATTTCATGACAGGGACGGCATTGTGTAATGCTTGCTGCATTACGCTGTAGTTGCATAAGATTTATTTATTTATTTATTTATTAAAAAACAATTACAGTGTCTTTACAGGATGTGTGACATCTGTCATCTGACCTAGGTAATAGGGTAGATAGATTCCCAGGTTTAAAATAAATTATTTCGCCTGCATCATTAAATGTAACATCTTAAAGTAGAGCCTGAATTGTCCTTTATTATCAATTTATATTATTTTTATTGATTTTGATATCTTGAAAGCAACATTAAATATAAATGGTTTGACAATAGCTAGGTATGACGTCACGAAATAGTATTTCAAACAAAAATGTACCGCGCCTAGCGTTTTGACGTTTAAAAAAGATACTGGTTTGACTTGACATTCACCTACCCAATTAAGAAACGCGATTTTTGGTCCAATCAAAAAGGGCACGCTTCCCCGGCTTCCAGGTACTCACGCCCGGGACGGCGGTGTCACACCTACAGCGTGATGCTTCCTGATAAAAACTTCCGTGAGTTTACAGAATAACAGATTGCAGAAAAGCAAGAGGAAGGATATTACTCGTTAAATTAAGAATAAAGGTGTAGTGTTGTTTCACTCTAACACAATGCGCTTTCTTTCTTTGATTGGCAACTTTCGTAATAAAATCCGAATAGCAATAACTGCAACAGATATTTTCTTTTATTTTAATTTCTAAACTCAGGTGACTTAACGTTTAATATATGAGTAGGTCAATGAAAAATATAGAGGTATAAACAAAGAATTCATTTATTTGCCATCTAATGCCATCTAGTGGTGAGATTAATAAACATTTAAGTTAGAAATACGTATAGGAAATTTTATTAATTATATATTATTAATAATAATAATTAATAACTTACAATACATAATATAACAACTTCTTCAATCATAGACAATTCTCAAACCTAATACTCGGTAATACAGATTTTTTTATATTTATAACTGCCCATGTGTAATTTTCATTCAAATATAAGAATAGAGCAAGCTATCTCCACCTAGCCCTGTACTCTGCAGTGATGCCAGGTGCGAGAGAGAAAGCTGCTGAGAGGCCCCCTCTTGTCGTTTTTTTTCTAATCAGGTGAGCATGCGCAGTGCAATGTTCTTTATGGATTGGAGAGACACCTCTCGGCAGCTTTCTCTCTCGCACCTGATATCACGCTTTCGGCTTTGGCCTTGTTCTATTCTTATATCTCTATTTTAATATTCCTAAAATTTATATTGTCTTGCTATCTTACTCTGTCAGTAGTCCCGCGCTCTTCTTTATCCATACTACATTATTATAACCAATAGTTGCCAATACACAATATGTATTGTCACCCCCAAATTATTGAGACAAAATCACAGCTCACCTTCTACTAAAACCTTAATAAAAAAAAATACCACAGAAAAGTCCAACTGAGCCTCTTAATAACTGTTTGATTAATTTATTAATTTTTCGTAAGAAATATTGCTACTATTTTTTTATTATTAATAATAAGTACTACACTTCATACGTATTATACATATAACTATTTATTACTACATAGTTATCAGAGCAAAAACTTAAATCCTATGAAAACTTACTATATTTTTACGAACGTATAATGTGCAAGTAAAATATGAGGGATGACTGGTACTAATATATTACACAAAATAAAATACGTATATCAAAATAATATCAGATAATAGTATTCAATACTTGTCAAGGCTTCTTTCGAAAAATTGCATTCCACAAATCTAGAACTAATGTTCTTGTCAACACGATCAACTACTTATGGAATTCTAACTTCACTTTTCAAACTACTTAACTATTTTAATTGAAACAACTGAGAACTAGGATCCTGTTTCCACAACCTTACAAAAAAAAGTTAAAAAGAATTACTAGTAGTATATTGGCTATTTTCTAACAGCTCTGTTCACTTTTCCATAAATTTCTGGGAAAGCTTCGCTACAATATTGGAGACTGTCTCTCACTTTGTCATACAACGTGTGGTCGAACATTTGTCGGAACTCTTCTTTGCTTGTGTAAGTATCAGCGTAAAGCATCTGAAAGCCATTGTGTTCGACGACAAATTTCTCAATGTGGCGGGTTGAAGATACCTGAAAGATAGATTAGATGTCTTATCTAGAGACTTTTGACTTATTTTGTTATTATTGCGTAAGTAGCTTAGTCTGTTTTTTATCTTTTTGTAACGATTTTAAAGATTGTAAGTCGGTATACCGATAATAACGTGAGTTTAGTAATAATGTCAAACAAAGGAGTAGCCTGGCCATCTCTTTGTAGGTGTGTAAAAGTAATGGTGAGCATGGAAATATAGAAAACACATCGTGGCTGGCGGCGTGGTAACATTTGATTCTAATTATTTTAACTTTTCGTGTTGCCTAGTCCATGTCCTTTCAGTTGATCTACATCGCCCAATATAGTTGTAGCTAAAACTGTGAAAACAACTGATGTTTCTCGCCGTAAATTGCTGTATCTGATAATACTGATATATTTTAAGATAGCATTTTGCACCTAAATAACATTGAATCAAAATGTCAAAGTGTTCATACACTAAGAGACACATGATGTGTTCGTTTTTTAATTGATCATACATATTCTACTCCTTAACCTTAACAAACGACCCACTTACAGTTTCAAAGCCTTTAGCTTTAGGGACCCCATACACGCCGATGTCGACGAACATCTGGGAGTCTTCAGTAGTCTTGATCTTTAGTTGACCAGGGTTGTTGAACACTTTGAATGGACACAGCCACATCGGGTATACCTGGATTAAAATCGTTCTTATGTAAATGATCTAAGAAGTCTCTTTAAGAAGACCACTATCATAGATACACGTTAAAATTACCGTGTCCATCCGCCCTGAAGGAAAAGATCAGGACAGGTTAGGTAGTCACGACTGTTATTACACTTATTAACTAGTTTATTACACTTGTTAACTAGCCTTGCACGAGGTACACTTTAAAGGAGTTCTGCCATCGTTAATAGATGACGCTGTATGAGATTTGATAATTTTTCAGAGTTCCTGGTAACAAAGTTTACTAAGAGAATGCTAATAAACATAAAAATTCTAAATACTTTAACTCAATAATTTTCTTCGAACAAAAATATTGTAAATGTTATTCTGCACTTAAGACGTGTGGTCAGATGAGTTTTTATATAAATTAAATAAAAATCCCCAAAACTATGTTCCAAAATGAACGATCATAATTGTTTATGGTTCTAGAAATCGTCATTTTAATCAAAATTATCATAACCAATGATTAACTTATACAAAAAAATACCAAATTAAAATTATGAACCTCAATCGCCTTATGGAAAACATTAACAGCCTTCTCCAGGTGTTCAATCGGCACCAACATGTCCTGTATGACGTGAGATCTGTCATACAATTTGCCGACTGCGTCCGGTTGCGTCAGCTTCAGGAGTGACACCTCTGGAGGCATCAACCAACCGAAGAGATACCGGAACAAAATGTTGTTGCCGAATGGAATAATGTCCTGTAAAATACATTCGGTTCTTTTATCATTGGTACATTTCAACGCAGATTTTTTCTTTTCCAAACTCACTTGATTGTTAATAATCAATTTTTCTTAAAGTTTTTTTTTACTATATTACAACAATCAATAGTTTTCTCAAAGTATTTCATAGAAACTAGAACTCTTATTTATCGACTGCACGGATGGCGTAGTGGTATAAGAGGCCATCTCGCCGCGTCGCGTCGTACCGCGGAGTTCTGGATGGTTTCGATCGCCACATGGGACAATACTTTGTGTGATCCACAAATTGTTGTTCTGAGTGTAGGTGTTTTTGTGTCCGTTTCATGAATGTTTGTAAAGTCCCCCGCGACAGAGGATTTATTCCTAGTGCGGGAGTTCTTTAAAAAAAACAAAAACTATACACCAACACTGATCTGATGTGCAATCTCTTGCACAATTTCAGCGACAATTATAAAGTACTTTAGTTATTATCCAAATGTATATCAAAGTATATATCTATATATATAAAAGAAAGTCGTGTTAGTTACACTATTTATAACTCAAGAACGGCTTTAACGATATGGCTGAAAATTGGTGAGGAGGTAGCTTAGAGCCAGGAGACGGACATAGGATACCATTTATTCCGAAAAAAAAAAAAAAAGTTTGCACGAAATTTGCTTTACTCGGAGATGCCACGTTATTATACTTGGAATGCTTCATCGAAGAATTTTCAAAGACGGAAGATTTTTTCTAAGAAAAAAATTAACTTACTAAATTCGAAAATCGGCTTATTTGTTGCCTTTAAGGCGGAACAGAGTTCGCCGGGTCAGCTAGTTGTAAATACATCAAAGAAGCTCGCCAAGATCCTTTAATGAATGCACGGAAAACCGACACTATTCGGTTGGCCGGCCAGTGCTGCTCCCAACTACCAACATACTGACAAGTGGATCTCTACATGTTGACACAATATGCTGGCGCCGGCACTTGGTCCCAATGAGTACAAGAGCCTTAAGCCTACTAAAGCTAAAATTCTTCTCCTTTCACATAACTGCTGGTACCTGTAACTCCCAGAAGAGACTCTTAGTATGTCTGTGATAGTAGTCTCGAAGGGGAATGTACTCTATGACGGAGCTGTTCCTCAGAAGGTGACTTTCTACTTGGGTGAAGAACCACTCAGCATACCATTTTCCAATGGGATTTAACTGTAAAAAATATGAGTTTTATAAATGAATATTGCATAAATATATCAATTAACACGTAAACCAAAATAGAATCATTAAAAAATCCCCGATACAAAAAAAAACAACAACTGCTCATTAAGACTGTTCTAATAAGCCCAAACATGGTATATATGCTGTAAGCTTCTGAGGAGTTGACTATCCGCAGACTAGTTGATGCAGCAGCAAGTTCCAGGTTACAATGTCGTGGAACTACCATCAATGTAACAGTATACCAAATTTTAGATCAATCGGACATGTGGATTTTAGTGAGATCCCTTCATCACCTAGGAAGTGAGCTGGTAAACTTCAAAATTTATAGCTAAGAACCATTTCGATCACATCGGCTTTCGAACAAAGAAATCCGCATCGAAATTGGTCCATCCGTTCGGGAGCTATGATGCCACAGACAGACAGACAGACAGACAGATACACAGATACGCAGATACACAAGTTAAACTTATAATACCCCTCGTTTACGAATTTTAGCCGTTTTTTTCCAAGTCACTTCATTAACCATTTTCTTGTTGATGAAACAGCAGATGTCGCTGTTTTCTCAACTGTGTTATTTAGTTTTTTTACTAAAATATCTTTAAAAAAAAATGCCTTATATTACTTAGTTGCAAACTGACATCTCTCATTGTTCTCCGGGCTTCAAGTAACACACTTCCGTCCCTGTTTATTTAAAAAATCACTTAGATGACGAGAGGTTAGATGTTACACGTCAAAAAGTTCACTTATCAGAAATTTTGTTAAAATCTACATTATCATTGTTATTATTTATTCATGTCTCACTTTTACTTGAAGTTTGGTAAATGGATGAGTATATTGGCGAATAATAATTTTCTCGCTTACCTGTCCATCATTTCCAATTTCATCAACCATATCTCCAGTTATCAAAACACCAGCTTCTTTACTGAACATCACAGCTTCTACGAACTGGTGAGGGTTTTCTTTCAAGGACTCCTGTCTAAAGTGATCTGCCAGTTCTGAGAGTTTTGTATGCGGGTGGTATTGAAGTCGAACATACCTGTATGATTAATAAGTTGAGTCTATTGACTGATAAATATACGATAACTTCAGTCTTCAGTGTCGTCATGTTCTACGTTTTCATGATATTGGTACTTTGACCTACTTTGTTAAGCCTAAATTATTAATAAGTATTGCTGAATTTTGCGCTTGACTGGCAAAGACGGAGGATGTGAACGCTGTCAGCTGAGGCAAATCTACGCTAACTTCAAGTAAAGAATAACCAGGGCACAGGATAACAAAGTGTTTTTATAATTAAAAAGTTATTTGTGTATACTTTCTTATAAGTTTTGTTTTTATTTTAACCTACATTGGTAACTATTGTAAACTATATATTGGTTATAGTGATTAAGGAAATTGTATTTTGCTTACTTTTTTGCGGGTATAACTTTGATGACAACAGACGTTAGGAATCCAAAAGTGCCGTATGACCATGGAACAGCGTAGAAAAGATCTGAATTTTCATCCTGAAAAAAAAATACATTAAAAAGAGATTGAAATTAATTTAAGTACGATACGAAACAAGGTCTAAACACTCCTAGGCCTTCGATTTAACTTGTTATAATGTTTTTTCGTATGGAAGCAACGCCTTTTAAGCAGACATAACGCAAACGAAACTCAACCGAGTTTACTTAATATGAAGTCCACTGTTGGTCTGGCCAAATTAACACGGCGGAAATTAACACTTCTCTACAAGTAAACCTCCTTTCTAAGGAGAGGCCTATGTCCAGCAGTGGACTATTAAAGGCTGTTGATGTGAAATGTGTTTTGAAAAGTTATATTTTTCAGCACACTTAGCCACGAGACATGAAATTCGAACGAATTCGACAGGGAATACCGAGGGTCGTCTTTCATTTAATACATAAAATAATTTGTCGTGTTTTAGAAGTTATGGAGGCTGGAAAATTATGCAAATACATACAAACATACGTATATATTCTGAATGGGGAAGGAGAGGGGAATTAAACAGTCTGTTATAGTGGGCAAGCCTAATAACTATAACTGGGCAAGGGAGAGGTACAGAAAGAATAAGACAGGAAGGTCATGAAAAAGAAAAGATATTGCCTATAGGAATAGATGAGAAGTGTAAGTTGCTTAAGAAGGTCAGGGTTAAATATCTATAACACGAACAGTTACGAAACTTTCAAACGTATAAGTATAGCCTTCGAGGGTAACACTATTTCCTAAACTAGGTTAGGTTGGCTTTAAGTTTACTATGATACGGTTGAACTTAATTGAACGACTGCCCTCAGACCTCCACAACCCAATTACTAGGCAATATCAAAGTTCTGTAGAAAGACTGTTGTCGTACTACCCTTACCTAACGATTGTCACAGATGTTCGTATACCAAACCGGGACCAACGGAAGCCCCTCGCATACAAATATACCTATTACATACCAGTAAAATTAGATAAAATAGGAAACTTACTTTACTACAAGTTATAAGAGATCCATCAGCTAACACTAACTCATACTGCAAGCAGATATTCTGGAATAGCCCATGCACGTGCGACGACGTCTCCACTCCAGTCCCCATCACCAGACCTCCAACCGTGAGCTGATCTAGCTCTGGCACGACGGCCAGAGCTAGACCTAATGGTTCCAGTGTTCGGGACAGTTGTCCCATTGTGACTAGCGGCTCGCAGCGGACGGTCTGGAAAAATAATTTGGTTTGTAACGCATAACTGCAACTTAAAAGCTACAATTGCGTTTCCGAGAGTGCGTTCTCTTCTTGAAAGAAAATTAGTTTTCCAAATAGGTTCATAAAATATTAATATTATGAGATCATAAATAAAAACATAATATATATATAACCGAATTATATAGCCGTGTAGTAAACCCGTCTGATTAAGAATACGTAGTATCACCGCCCCTATTCATCCCGTGGGTGTCGTAAGAGCCGACTAAGGGAGCAAACTACAAACGACAACAGCACTGCAAAGAGGCGAACTTAATACAAACCCTATACCAACCCGCCTGACCAGCGTGTTATAGTAGGCCAAAACCTCCTAGAGGCCTATGTCCAGCTGTTTACTATTAAAGGCTGTTCATGTGTGTATGATGTAATACCGAAATTAAGGAGCGCCTCCTTTTTTGCAGTCGATTAAAAAGTAAGTAGAATGACACCGTAAATGTCATCGGTAATACTGTCCGCATAGCAATTAACACTATCAATGCTCAGTATATTACTAAGCTGTTTTTAATCCACTATTTATTTTAATCTGATTGGTAATAAACCCTTAAACAAGGAGATTAGATATAGGGTACGCGATCTTAGATACGCTTCATTCGTGACAATTACAATGTAACGATTAAGTGGATAAAATGTTAACGAACTTACTGATACCAAACCATACACTTCCTAAGTTTCATCCTTTGTGTGACACTTACACAAGAGAATATCGTGATTTCTCTGAAAAATTGCCGTCCTTTGAGTCCTAACTTCTTCTTCCCCACAAAATCAGGGGAGAAATGGTTTAGGCTCCGGTAACGTCAGTTACTCGAGGAAAATCATCGAAAGAACTGCTTAACAATGGTTTTCTGTGATGCCGTTGTATTACTCCGGTCGAGCCTGGCCCATATATGCTAAAGCGAAACTATCAGAGGTGTAAGGTAGGGCGGTAAAATCATACAAGCACACATATCCTAGAATAGAATACATACATATCCTAATTTAAAAGTTACATGCGATAGAATTTTTACTTTTAAGGTTATTAGAGCTACCCGGCACACGACCGGCACCGCCTCGCCTCGAGCGGTTAGTAATCTGGTTAGTTGACCACTCGGTAACCGGACTCGGTCTGCGAGTGGTCCACGCCCGAGAACGATGCATCGGTGGCATACTGCTCCCCTCGAACTTGTCTGTCGTATCATTTTCTGGACCAACCGTCGATAACGAGTGGACACCGAGTCAAGGTGGCGTTGGTCAGGTGTTGTTTGTGTAATAAGCTATGACCTTTACTCCTCAGTCGCTTAAATCCCGAAAAAATATGCTGATCCCGATTAATACCGGAATGCATTCACAAAATCTACATTAACACTAGCGAAGCTAACACTGTTTCGAAAAGGTATATAAGTAGTGAGTATATAAAAAGTATTTAACCTCATTTCGAGCCAAGTACAAACACTTGGTAGAGCATACGCTACAATACACTACACTACACTACAAAGCATAGTATGAAGTGTAATGTATTTTAGCGCTTCCTGTGCTACGTATGTTCACTTGTATGTATTAGGCAGTAAAGACTGCTTTAACAGCGTTTCATAGTCCACTACCGGACATAGATCTCTCCTTAGAAAAGCGATTTTGGCCTGCTATATCACGCTGGCCAGACAGGTTGGTAATTCAAGTTAGTTAATTTTAAAAACGAATGGCCTTACACTGACAATCATCAAATTCAAATATGTAACAGATAGAATATTTTTTTTAGAATCTGATATACACCGATAAATGTAGATTTCAGTCAAGGCAGTGCTATGAATCTTGGATTCAGCGATTTGTATTTCAAATCGTTCAAAGTACGATTTGAAAATCAAATCCTCATACCAATCGACATTTGTAATGTTGAATACCAAACAGATAAAGATACATACATTTATACGGAAATAAAATTAGGATTATATTTATTTAAGTTATGAACATTTGATTTTCTTGCTTGTGGTGCTTAAGTATTTTTTGTTCAGGAATTTTCAATTCAGGAATACAGATTTTTTATTGCAATAAATTTACTCAAGTTTCATTTTACTGATGCATACTATATCTATTATACTAGTCCGTGTGGTGACGGATTAAGAATACAGTGTCACTACCCCTATCCATTGCGTGGGTGTCATAAGAGCCGACTAAAGGAGTAAACTAGGCAGGACAACAGCACTGCAAAGAGAAGGAAAACTTGAAACAAACCCTATACCAACCCGTCTGGCCAGCGTGGAATAGTAGGCCAAAACCTCCTTTCTAAGGAGAGGCCTATGATCAACAGTGGACTAGTAAAGGCTGTTGATGATGATGATGATGATGATGATGCATACTATAACAGCAGTAATTCGAATACCACAAAATAATTTACACATGGGTATTTTATAATTCAAGGTATTTTTTAAATAAAATATTATAACATAAAATATTATAACATGGTTAGACTTTAGTCTTTATATATCTAAATTGAATTACAAAAATCTGCATTATTACATTTAGTATCACTAATATTAAGTTAAGTTTTTGAGTGTGTGTGTTTCTGTGTGTGTTTCTATGTTTGTTACGTATTCACTAACACACACACACACATTCATTAGAAATATTGATACTACATTTGGTAAAAATGTAGTGTTCCCGTGGGATGAGAAAGGTATAACAACAACCGGTAACACTGCGGGGCGCAGCTAGTTCTTGATAAAAACGTTTGAAAGAATTATAAAGACTACCTGGTGTATGTAAACAATAACAGACTACAATATGGAAAGTTACTACCACCATTTTATATACCTAACATAACATTATACCTAACAATTTATATTTAAATACTTATTTCCTAACTATGCTATGTATGTGATGAATAAAAATGAATTGTAAAGAAGTTTTCAAAATTCAGCATGATTGGTATGGGATAACTGATTTAAAATTCAGACACAAGATTTGAATTGAACAAACATACTGTTACATAATCATTGCAAGTTAAATAAAAGTTTATAAACACTGTTTTAATTTCCATGGGATGTGATTTCATATAAAATAAGTCTCCAGCCTCCCCTGGCTGATTTAAAAACAGTAACACTCAATCAAAATTGTAAATCATCACATCCGATGGACGTTGTAAACAACTTATGTAGGTACATATTTTAAACTCCCCACACGACAATACAAAAAAGTCCATTGTCTATACCTAATATGATTTATGATATCTAAATAAATTGTCTTAAATGCATTCAAATGAGAAGCCATATCGACACCAGGAAGCGGAAATTGCGTATCGCGGAAATTAGCCTAAATGTAAAATTGTAAAACCTACTTAATGTTTGCTGTCGTGAAAAAAAACAGCATTATACAGTATATTCGTTTTTTTCCTTTTTTTTTAAAACTTTTTTGATATTAATAACAAAAACAAACATAAATCTTTACATGTAAGTAACGAATTTTGGAAATAAATTTTGATCTCTGGAATGAAATTGGATGTTTCGAGATAAGTAATTTCAAACAAAGATCGATACTGTACTATAATGTATAGTTTTTTACTAAATTATTATTAGGTATACCCAGCGTCGGCCCATGAGCAAAAAGAACGATCGCTCGAGGCGTCAGGTAGCAAGAGGCGCCAACACACCTTATAGGTATGCGTAAACCATTTCTGGCGCTTTTGAGATGTCTCTCTCTCTTAAGGAAGCGTGACCAATCATTAATCTAATACATTAAACAAAAACAAGGTAGTAACACCAGTTATAACTAAAAACCGACCGGAACGAAATTCATGATTTTTGGTTTGTTGGATTTGTATTCGTTCAATACAGAGTTCATACAATAGCAGAATAACTATTACAAAATAAAAAAAAGAGAATATAGTGAAAACTCATTTTCTCGTGAATTGTGTCTCGAAACAAAAATGGACGAAAAGAGATGATTGACATACACGTAGGTGAAACTGTGGGGGAACTGGCAATTCCATTTACCAATCCTACAGAAGTAACAAACTTACTTACTTTTAAGTTAATTTACTGACTGATTGAAATACCTACCAATATCGGTACGAATTGTTTTATGTTAAAGAGACTGGAGTAAAGCCTATAAAGCAATTTAATATAATTTGATCCAAATCCTGTTGGTATGTGTATGTATGTAAATACTGAAATACAATTTATTTGAAGTAAAAAAAATCGCTGAAGGTAATATTTACCCTACTCCAATGAAGGGCTAGGGCCAGTGATGCATGGGTACGAGTATAATGTTAAAGAAATAGTAAAAAAAAGTGTATTTTAAGTTTATAAATCAATGTTTTATAAGCACCTGAGTGTTGGTTTTAATTTTTGTGTTTAAGTAAAGAAAAAAAAAACAAATTAAACTTTTTGAATTATATTAATCAAAAAAATAAGAGCCAGAACTTTATAAACCACTAGCGATCTTCCCCGGCTTTGCACGGGTGCAATGTAACTACTAATGTGGTGTCAGTGTGGAGTAACTAATTATACTATTATTATGACAAGACTATAACTACAGGACATCTTACGCACAAAAACATGTTTTTTACGACTTTGCATTACAAATCTTTGAAATTCTCGGATTTTTCTCTACTATAAAATGAATGTTGTATACATATAAACCCGCCTCTTGAATCACTCTCTCTAGTAGTGACAACCGCATTAAAATTCGTTGCGTGGTCTAAAAGATCTAAGCGTACAAAAAAAACGACTTCATTTTATACTACGAGTATGTAAAGATAATGTTTTTAAATACACTAAAAGTCTTTGTCTCAGGCGTTAAAAGGAAACAGAACGGAAAATTATGTAAGTATATATATTATTCGCGTAAGCGTTTTCATGATGAAGCACTTTTATATACAATAGGCTAGAATATTTACTGATTGACTTAAATACACTTCTCAGTATTCTTCGCAGACTGCAATGCCAATGAGACATAAGTGGGAAATTAAATTGACATCAGACGTCTCAGCTTGCGACGAACAATTAAAAAAGTAACTACTGGTCGCCCCGAGGCCAGGGTTCAAAATAAGATCGTTTTCTTCTACATAAATATAAAAATGTTAAGTTGGTTTGTTACGCTTCAAAAACTCAAAAAGTTCTGCACCGGTTGTGCTCAAATATTGACACGATATACAAAGTTTGATAGATGGTTTTTTTACAGCCTTGGTGGTGCAGTGGTAGCTGTGCCACTGCTGTGCTGAGGTTTCGGGTTCGATTCCCGGGTGGGACCAAATGTTTGTAAGATCTGGTGATCTGGGTTATGTATGTGTTTACAAAAAAAAAACGACAAAAAAAAATCGAGCTTTCATAGTACAAGCTCTGCTTAGTATGAAACTAGATGGCGTTATGTATCAGATATTCGAAACTATTATCTCTGTTCCTCAGAGCTCTGCGGAGTGTGGCAGGGTACAATCTTTTTACAATTTTAAGTTTTTTTTTTTTGATAATACATACAAACACTCAGGACCATATCGACAAAGAGGTAGGCGTAGTAAAAAATGTCCACATTAGGCTAACTATAATTTGAGTCTCTTACGTAAACGGAAGATAGCCTATTGCAGGCAACCGAACACTTTACTGATTAGACGGAAAAATTATGAGTTTATCAAAATGAAAGGTAAATAAGACGGGAAGGTACTGGTAAGAAAAGATATTGTTTACACGACATGTATTGAGAAAAGCTACAGCTCGAGCAGGTGAGGGTCAAATATATTTTTTTGTTACGTATGGAGCAAAACGAGCAGACGGATTACCTGATACTACCACTGGACACCACCAACTCAAAGGGCATCAGGTTCGGTGCCACACTTAACCCCCCCACCCCTCCCTCCTACTCCACCTTTTGCTCCGGTAACCTCACTCAGTCGGTGAAAACGAACGAATCACTTAACACCAATTTTTTCTGCGCGGCCGTGGTATGACTCCGATATCGTGCCAGCCGGCATTCGTGCAGAAGCACGGCTCTCCCACGCTGTCTTGTATTGATTAACCTTTTATCCAATACCCTCGGAAAATATAACGCTATTTGTAATAAAATAAAATTGAAAAAACAAAACATACTCATAGTTAATTGTGATATAGTTTTATTTTAGTCTTTTATCTTGCCATAATTTATCATTTCCTTGTTAACGTAGTTCAAATTTTAAGACCTACTTGTATGTACACTTATGGGTAATGGTAACTTATCGCTCTTTCTTGTAAAATATCAGATATGTATTGTAGTTGGTAAGCCGTATGTTAAATAAATAAATACATTCTTGCCAAAAATTCTAAAACCGCCAACTGAATACAAAGCTACAATAATAATATAAACCTTATCAAGATATAATATTCGAACTCTGTATCTTTGTACATAGGCTACTTTTCACCGCAATAACCGACACTCACGCGGGTGGAGCCGCGGGCAACAGCTACTATATTATAAATGTGAAAGTGAGTTTCTTTGTTTGTTTGTTAGACTTTCACACCTAAACCACTGAACCGATTTTAAAAATGATTTCACTAATGGAAAACTACATTATCAGCAATTAACATAGGCTACTTTACTTACTTACTTTATTACGAAAACCGACATATACCCGGCGGAGCCGCAAGCTAGTGATTTATAAATAGAAAATAATAAGGTATAGTTGTTTGATTGTTTTGTCCTTGCTTATGCTATTTATATGCTGGTCGTTATTATGCAATTGAATTTCGCCGTATGTTCTACTTCGCATCATTTAGTCACTCTGTATGGCGCATTGTGTGATCGTGGACAATATAATTATTGATTTATTACAACTTTAACGATCTGTCTAGTTTAATATACCAATAGCGTATAAGGAATAGCGTGTAGAGAAAGGAATACTATGTTGTGCGGTCGGCAAGCCGAAAGTGTCCAACAAAAGGCTTACTAATACTGAACTATTTAGAAACCGTCCAGGGCCTCAATTCAAGTTTAAATAACTCTCTTTACCTATACATGCACTATTCTGGGCCTCAATACTGCTATTTTATGTTTACGCCTAGCCACTGTCATACCACTGACATGCTATTGAGATGCCATCGAGTGGCCATTGGCTTCGGTATAAATACCGGTAGTTGAAAATATATTACGTTTTTTGAGGAAATGATTTATTTATTTTTATTATAATAAATTATTAAAAGAAATAAATAAATTAAAATAAATTATTGAAAAAATAAAATTAAAAAAAAGACAAATAAATTATTAAAATAAATAAATCATTTCCTTATAATTTAACAATATAATATAACGTTTATTGAGGAAATGATTTTTTTATTTTTATAATTTATTTATTTCTCTTTTCATCTATAATTTTTATATTTTATTTTTTCAATAATTTATTTTAATTTATTTAAAAAATTATTATAATAGAAATAAATAAATCATTTAGTCAAAAAACGTATATATTTTCAAATAAAGATATTTATATACCGATGCCAAGCGTGTCAGTGGTATGACAGTGGCTTGGCGTGAACATAAAATAGCAGTATTCAGGCCCAGAATAGTGCATGTATAGGTAAAGAGAGTGATTTAAACTTAGCAGTTATTTGCAAGAAACCACTTTCCTAAAATTAACTGATACCTCAGATCCCTATAACAAAATTACTGCACTCTACTTGTTGAGTTTTTTAAAAGTACAACAATTATTAATAATATAATTATAATTATTAATTATTATATTTTAATTTTTTCTATGGAAATAGTCACTCTAATAACAAGTACACGTAACACCACTAATACAGAATTTTTAAACCCCCATCTTGTCGACCCCCAAAATAAGTTTTCGTTTATGTCGACAACTGGAAATACGATTTTGACCCCAAGGGATCGATATCGACCACTTTGGGAATCCCTGATATAAACGAACGAATGGCAAACGAACAGACGGGTCACTAGATATTAAATTATTACTGCTTAGCACTCTTCCTCTCTCCTAACCTTTTGACAGGGCCCATAATCGTTCTAAATTTTTATATTTTTAAGACCATTTATGTAAATTATGGAACGCAATAAATAATTGAGTATTGAATAGATGGATAGTGACTACCGCCGCCCATGAACGCCTGCAACTCAGGATTCAACTCAGGCTTTAGAGGAGGGAGTACGCTCTTTTCTTGAAGGTTTTAAGGTCGCATTTTATAATTAAATAGTATATAAATAGTTATTAAAGGTATCGTCATCATCATCATCAGCCTATCGCAGTCCACTGTTGGACATAGGCCTATCCTATTATAAGTATGTTGTCTGAAAAACCTGTCTGTCTCATAACTACTTTCATAGGTACATTTCAATTATCGAATTAGCAAATAGTAGGGTGCCTATTGTTGCTCTCGTACAACACAAACAGATTTACAAAGCTGGTTAACGGACGGGTACGAGTCGAACTCGTGCGCCGAGGGTTCCGTTCCTATCCAGATTATACGTAGATTTTCGCGAAAAATTTGTAAGTACCAAAATTTATCTCAACTTTCAACTTTTTTATTTTTTGGAACTATTCCTTTATTTGTGCTATTAAATTTTGGTATTACAAGTTTTCGCGAAAATCGAAATTTGCCCATATCTTTTTATCGTGTTGACTCAGGACCTTGACACCCAATAGGGGCCATAGACCTCAGTATCTGGTATAAATTTCAAATTGCTAGGTCTACCCGTTCCTGAGAAAATCGGTGGTGACACGCGTACAGACGGACAGACGGCGTATTCTATCGAGGTTGATATTTGAATATTATAAGTGAAGCGTTATATTGTAATTCTATGTAGTTTATTTATTTGATTTACTTACCATGTTTTTGTCGTCAATCTCAAGTATGTCCACGAGATTGATCTTGATCTTTGTAAAAGTCTTCTTGTATGTGCTCTGACGGAACGACATGTTTTGCCAAGAAGGCCGAGCGGTGCATAACCTCGTACTGCGATCCCCTTTTAACCAGGTTCTTATCTATGAAGTAAAATAATGCTTAGTTTGATTAAATAAGTTTGTTATTTATTGTATTGTTCCAGGTGAGTTTATTGTTAGTTGTTTAGGAATTTCTCATTAAGCAGGCTTTTTTCAATAGCTTTTGCTGGCATGTTCGCTTTATATATTATATAATAAATTTTGCTAATTATTTTGAGTATCCTTATGTAGCACTTCTTTTTGATATCATTAAAACATTCCGAGCCCAGAAAAAAGGCATTCGATCAATAACTAAAGCCCAACCATTAGAAAACTGTGTCCCACTTTTCAAACATTTAAAAATAGAGTTCGAATATATTAAAGATGGGCGTGGTAAGCCCATCTTTAATATATTCGAACTCTGTATCTTTGTAAATAAAAATAAAGCTTTATTTCAAGTACATAATGATGTTGTTATAAGAAAAAGCCGAAATAACTATAAATTATGTATGTAAAGAATTAAATTATTTTCCTATTATTATAAGAAATAAATAATGTTTACTGTATGGCAATTCCTTTTTATAATAAATTACCGAATGTTTTTAAAAATCTTAACTTCATAATATCTGAAAATAAATTATTTGACTTCCTATTGCTTAAGTGTTACCTACTACTCAACAAATGAGTTTTTTAATGAAAAATTTGATTCAAATTATAAATAAGACGACGAGTTGCTTTTATATTCTCAATAATTCAATTCGATTTAATACCTATGACATTGCTTTGAATATTTTTTACATTATATTAAATTATTATATTCAGTATATTGAAAAATTCCTGACATTTTAATTAATCTTTTTTAACATTGTATTTAATAATTATTGACATTATATTTACTGAACCTTGTCATTATATTCACTAACCCTTGACATGGTACATAGTAGGTTTTAACAACTAAATTTGAAATGTTGTTCCCATTAATTTTAAACTTTAATGCCTTGAAATATTTGTACGCTGGAAACAGCAGAATATTATTGATGTTATATTTTGTCTAACACCTGTATCTCAACAATATTCTGACAAATAAATCTATTATTATTATTAAAAAATTGTTAGACAACCTCCAGTCTGAGGCCACAGCGTCTCTTATTATTGCACGCCTGGTATTATAAAGCGTCTGGTACACAAAGAAGCGACTTATTAGTCGTTTGTTTGTGCACCAGGCGCTTAATTTTATACCTGTGTACATGGCGAATTAAGAGTGTAAAAATTGCATGTGAGCTCATACCTACTTTGTATAGGTACCTAATGCTATCACAGCAATACGATTATCTTTATCCCCGCACTTAAATTTAACATGACAACAATAAATAGCCAAGATAAATTAGAACAACTATTCAAATAAATAAAAATAAAATAAAAAAAATATTCAAATTTCATTTTTTTTTCTTATAACAGTAGTAGCCAGTTTTTTTATGAGTTTATTTCATAGAGACGATATATATGTTTTCAAATTGCGTAGTTTTCATACTTTATGGCCTAATACCAACTAAACTTATAATTAATCATAATGACGTATTTAAATACCCTAGCTTGATATTGTTTCTTTTATCCTTCATTTTTTGGCGTTAACAAAAATATAAACTATGGTTGACAATTGTTGACAACCGTCAACGGTAGTTTTAGTCAAGCACGTACTACGAGAAGCATTTTAATATTTTTAGTACAAATGTACTAAAAATATTAAAAATAAAAATAACCGGGTATAACCGATACATAGAAATCAAGGGATCAGTTATATTAGGGATGATGGTTTGGAGGGACGTTTAATGAATTTACGTGCACATCACATTATTGACCGTAAAACTTTTATCTTTATTTGATCTCCTTATGTTCTTCTCTTAAGACCCGATTAACTTTATAGCTCAATTTGCTTGTCTAAAATATTGTTTTATAGCACAGAAATAATACCAATTTTTTGTATGAATACATGGGAATTTTCTGACGCGCGTGTGTTAACATTTCGTAATGTTCGGTTGAGTGGTTAACAAAAAAGAAATACATAAATTCTCATTCGCAATTATAATATTCGTTAGAATTTAGATGGTGGTTTAACCTCTGCAATGTCAAGATTACTGTCAATGTTTTGTTTTTTTTTCTGAACTATTCTAGAAATCAGATCGTAAATCGCAACTATGACACTCGACTTATGAGTTCGTTTTTTTCTTATAAAGATATGAATGATCTCGTAGCTCGTAGCTAAGAACATCGGCTCCTTAATTTACTAGGATAAAAAATGTTTCACTGTTAAAACGACAAGGATCTATTAAGTAACGCCAGGATGAAAGACAAAGATCTTTTTTTATTCGGACGTAAAAATCTAATAAAAGCACTGTCAGTTCTTTTTTTATTCCAATTAAGCGGGCAGGTTCTTTACTTTTTTTTTGCCTTAAAATCCAGTTCCTACTAATATAAGAATTTTACAAGACTACCAAATTAAACAACTTATTATCAATGCATACGTTTACAACCCTCGATGCACTACGAAAGCATTTTTTATCAATAAAGATAGATAGGAAAACAGACCGACTTTTAATATAATTTCTAAGATTTCTTTTAGTCTTTAAATAATAATAGTAACCTCACACATCACACACACGGCCGTCTGATCCCAAACCAGGCAAAGCCTGTACTATGGTAACCAAGATGCAGATAAACTTATTTATATATAATCTAAATACATACATATCATAGATTAATTACACCCAGATACAAAACAAATGATTATACTCATTACACAATTATTTGCTCTGGGTGAGAATCGAACCCACGACCTGACGTTCGTAACATAACATCTATATAAAAATCGGATACAAGACCTTTTAGTATAACAGTGCGTGTTTAGAGTAGCGGCCTCACATTGGCAAAAGGACATTGCGCTATACACATGCTAATATAAGTAATTAACACAAACATTAGGTACAAGCGAAGGAAACATTTGAGGCCGACAAAAACCTTTCAAGTTATTTAAAGTGTTAAAGACTTCTGGTCACGTAGCCTACACATTTGAGTTTCTAATTAGAAATCATATAAAACATTGTGTTTTACCAGTTTATCATTAAAGTAACTTTAAAGTATAATATTATATCTATCATTTAAAATATACAAAACTTCATTCATACTTATAATGGTATAGGTATAACAGGCAGAGCTTTTTTTTTCAATCTATTTGGCGCCAAAAACACATACACGACACGTGTTTGGCGCCATAGTAAATTGAAAAAAAACTTGTTGTCAAGAATTTTGACAGTTGTCAAGCGCTTATTTTGTCTCTGTCAATATGTCCTTACATTAAAAAGAAAATATGTTAAATATGCTCACCTGCTTCTGCACGTAACTGACTTTTTTCTCATGCATCTTCGGTGCGCTACTGAGCTTGAATACGACATAATTCCTGAACGTAGACCAGATCTTCCACAGCAATGAGAGAGGCAACAGCACCGTGATCACCACCACCCAACGGTACTCCACAAGAATGTATTCCGTAAGGCTTTCAGTTTCAACTGTCATTTTGAAATCGTGATCTAAACTGCAATAAAAATGTATTGCAGAACATGAGAATAATGTAATTTACTTAACATATTTGTAGGAATAGAAAATAGGGCAACTTTTTTATAGTTTGTTTTTAATAATTATGCTTTGCTTTAAAGGTACCAGGCAACCAGGCAAAGCAAAGGCTAACAGAAACTTCTTTCTATTTTTAAAAACGTGACTTACAAAGTACAGAATATGCGAATATAATATTTATAGAAATTCGCTATTATGTCCTTTAAAAATGTGGTCAGATGTATTTTTTTTGGTACTGACAATAATTACGAATTTAAATAACGTAAAATGTATTCCACAATTTGCACTATTGTATTGTAAAATACGAATAAAATTGTACTCAATTAGTACTTTACCCCGACCGGAAGTTGTTGCTGCTACAAACAGGTGGAAGTTATGGTATGAATAGTTTACAAATATTGCCTCTACTACAGTGATTACAGCATGTTTATGTGTGTCAAGATTAATAACAAAATACCCCAAAATCTAGGTGAATTACCCTTTAAATTGTTTGGTGTACGCCTAAAGAAAAGGCTAACTGAAAAATGCTTCTACACTGTTAAAGAATTTTTAGAGTCCAAACATGTATAGCTATTTAATATATTGTTATTCCTTCTTTTCTTAATCTTTAAATGATTACATGTCGAAAGATGGCGGTGGATATTACTAAAATATTATGTACCTACTAACAACTGTATCTACTCAATCAAAACAATAAAGATTACGTTACTTTAGTAATTTATTTGATAAGATTAAAGAAGAGACAATTGAAGAGGACAAAATGCCGTATGATGTCGTGGCACACCCGATAGGAACGAATAAATCTCTTATATGTTAACAAAGAAGTTGATTTGATAGTGAACTACAGGTAGTTATTTAAAGAAAGGCAGCATTTTTTTATTACCTAATAAATTGAATAACCTGAATACTATGTATTGAAGATAAATTAGACTAGCCTTATCTTATTCCTCATCAAATTCGCTAAAAATCATACGCATTTTGTATCGATCTCCGATGCGTTGTTGTCGAGTTATTAAAAATGCGCAGTGCCAGTAGACGGATTACTTTTACTCTCTCTCGCGCTGCAGGAAGTGATGCATTCACTTCAAGACCGAGAGAGATGGTGACTAACGCTTTTTCTCGTAAAATCCCTATCGCCACATCGTTCCATAAGGAACTTCGATCCAATTTAAATAAAATAAAAAGAAACAAAGAAGCGCAGGCTGCCTGGTTCCGTGGCGTCATGACGGACGTCTGTGGCGCGTCGATGCCACGGGTCAGGCCGCGGCGTGGGAGAGGTTCTCTGTACTGGTAGACACCGGAACTCGAGCAGCTTCGTACAGAATTTTGTTCCAGAGAACCCGAAGACGACGGCGAGCTACAGCCCAGGAGATCGCTGAAGTGAAGCGGGAGTACGGCGCTGCCGCAAATGCTGTTAGCCTTGCGATCGTGGAAGCCTGAAAGGAGAATCCTGGAATCGGTCCTGAAAGGAGCTCATTGAGGGACTGGACAGGGACCCATGGGGGCGCCGTTACAAAATTGTACAGGATAAACCCCTGGAAGATAAATAAATCTGGCTCGAAATGTGGCGGAACGCTCACTGACCCGCTGAATGCGCACCAAAGCGCTGTTGGTTCTGTTATGCCTAACCTTTGAGCTTGGGTAGGTAGGAAAGCAGGTCGCGTCACCTACCGACTGACGCAGGTCAGACTGGGTATGGTTGCTTCGGTGAGAACCTGAAACGTATTGGACGCGAGAAGACGGCACAATGCCAGCACTGCGCAGCCGACTGGGACTCCGTCCAGCTCACGCTGGAAGACTGTCCCGCGTAGGCGTCTAAACGCGATGTCCTGGTCGGCCAAATTGGACGAGACCTCTCCCCACCAGCAATCATTGCTGTCAAGCTAGCGGGTGTCTGCAGGGCAGATTGATTGTAGATGCGTGCCAGATGGTGGCAGATTGATTGCATTAAGATGCAATCGGGCCGCCACGCCGCGGTTGAGGGAGGAAGTGTTTTCCCCTGAGATAGGGCCTAATTAGGCATGGTGTCAATTCGGGGAGGACCTAAAATAACATGGCCCGGGTCCTCCCAGAGTAGAACACCTGAGACCGGCCGTCGTGGTATTTTTTAGTTGAATTACCATATACTCCTGGCTCCTGAGTCCCCGGGGAGCAGGATATCCGAAGAATTTTTCCACCAAGACAAAAAAAAATAGGGGTCGACATAAACGAAAACTGATTTTGGGGGTCGACGAGATCTAAAAATCGACTCCTATTAATTAACACAAGTTCTTATTTGAAACTTTCAAGATACAGTGTTAGTTGAGCTACGTATACCACATTGTTATAAGAATGACTAATATTTTAGTGGAGAGTATCATTATTGTAGTTTTAAAAACTCAACAAGTCGATAAGTATGCAGTAATTATAATGGGGGTCTGAGGCAGCACTTCAAACTATTTAGAAAAGGGGCCTCTTGCCCAAGATAGTTTGGGACTCCTTAGTCTAGTGGTTAGTCATCATAATCATCAACAGCCTTTACTAGTTCACTTCTGGACATAGGTCTCTCCTTGGAAAGGAGGTTTTGGCCTACTATTAATTAACACACAAGATTAATTACCAACTACACGCTGGCCAGACGGGTCGGTATAGGGTTTATTTCAAGTTTTCCTTCTCTTTGCAGTGCTGTTGTACTGCGTGCACCCACGGAATGAATAGCGGTGGTGACACTCCGTATTCTGAATCCGTCACAACACGGGTTTTCTCTTCGGAGTATTGAAAGACAGTGACCCGCCACTTGCTTGTATGTTTACATAAGTATTGTCTATTGTACTGAAATTATAGGTGATAGTAGCCTTATTTCGAGTACATTATCTGTCTGCTACTTGATATATTTTTTTAAATTTATTTAATAAATTTACTGTATTTAGAATAAAGGAGACTTTCAAATCAAAAAGCTTAATTTAGCTTGTTCGTCTGACAATTACTAAGACTAGCGCAGTCATTTATATGATATTAAAATAAATATGTAATGAATTAACAAATTTGATAATTAATGTAAATTATATAAACACTAAATTAGGGTGCGTAATACAATTTCCAAATAAAAAAAACAATAGAATGTATGACCATGCGCTGGAGCGTGAGAAGTGTTTTTTATTTTTATTTTATATCTGTTTTACATAAAGCAACGCGGTTTCCTGTGTTGCTCTATGCCTATGCCGTTTTACGTCCTCTATACTCGAAAATTTGTTGTTATTTTAGCGGCCATATTTTTTAAGGTAACATTCCGAATATCATTTTAAAACATTCCGGGCATAGAGTTAACCTTTTGATTTCCCTGGGTGTGATTTAATCTTAGGAATACAATGTAATCTTATTACTTAATCGTAAATGCCTACTACTAGTAGGCATTTATGATTAAGTCGCATCGTGACAAATATAAATATTAGGTAATTCCAATTTCAAATTACGATAGAATTTAAAGAAGATACTTTGGATGTCAGTGATTAATGATAATTTTTGTTAAGTTAGTCATATCATGTAATCTTGTAAAAACTTTTATTGAAAAAAAAATATATATATATGGCAGTGATAAATGATATTTATTTATGTAAGTAAATTTTTTCAGATATTTTTACAAGTCGGACTTTACTAGAAGGAGCCGGCAATTACTAAGACTCACTCTGTCCTCAGCCCGTAGACTCTGTTCGTAAACAAAGTAAAGAAAACTGTGCGAGTACATTATAGGGTCTGGGTAGGCCTTTTGAAGAAAGGACCATAGTTTTGAGTCGTCGTGTCCATACAAACGGCATACGGCCCCAGCCATCGTGTAGCTTAACCGATATTGATCAAGATTAAAGACCCGAAGCGCGATACTACCGCGAGCAGGACATTTGGGTAGGTCGTGGAAACACTCAAAACCACCAGAAACTTACTAAAAATATGAACTAACATTACAAGCCTATACTATACTCACATTTACATACTTACACAAAAAAATATACTATACAATTCTAATTCGAAAAATAAACAAATTGAAAACAAACAAAAAACCAACTACAACAAAAATTAAATGTCTATCTTGAATATATATTAACTTTCTTGTGACAAACGCAAGGAATGTTCTTTCAAGTTAATCCTGGAGATTTGATCTCCACGAGGACTTTGGAACTTAAAAGGCGGGTAAACGGAGAAAATGTTGCAAGAAATTTAATAGAAGTCGGGACGTAATAGTTTTCTACTTGAAGCTGAATACTGCGAAAGAGCCTACAATTGAATTGTTAAACTTTGAGTAACTTCTCTTGTGTAGAAACCAGCTAATCTAGCCGCTTCAAATACATACAAACTCCTTTTGTGCAGCCGATTGTTCTGGATCTTACTACATCTAGCTCATAGCGGAAATAACATTTGTGTGAAGGCAAGATCTAACCTACTATGACCCTAACCTACTCGAGCTATTGTCCAATCAATCCATCATCATCAACGGCATTTAGTAGTCCACGGCTAGACATAGGCCTCTCCTTACAAAGAAGGTTTCGGCCCACTATAACACGCTGACCAGACGGTTTGGTATAGGGTTTGTTTCAAGTTTTCGTTCTCTTTGCAATGCTGTTATCCTGCAGAGTTTGGTCCATTAGTCGGCTGAATGAATAGGGCTGAATGAACGTTCACCCACGGGATGAATAGGGGTGGTGACACTCCGTATTCTTAATCTGTCACTACACGGACACAATTCATCCGCATAAGCAATTTCCCTTGCCCAACATTGCCTACTCATCTTCTCAACTACTCCTTTCATATTCAAATCCCAATATTGCCATTTATTCCTAAAACCCAGTTGACGGCAACAGGCTTGACAATCTATTCTATATATATATATAAATAAAATTGAAGTGTCTGTTTGTAATGTCAAAATAATAGGCTCACACGGTTATTTGCACGATACCTATGCCTAAAATCCA